GTAGTGCCAGGCCTGTTTCTGTCCACTGAAACACAGGGTGATTTTCTCAATCAGAAGAAAAGTATAAAATACAGTTACAAATACAAAATTAGCAGTATTRTTCTTTTCATTTGAAATGTACAGCCTGGCTTGAGATTACAGCAAGGAAGCTGTGTCTAGAACTGTGATCACAGAGTAACAGTGGTCTTGGGTCCAAGTGAAAGAGAAGCAGTCAGCAAACAGTTGGGGAGCTGATCTCCTGATGCCCCAGGTTAGGAGAGCTAAATTTGGAGAGAATAGTGAGGACTAAAGTAGTGGATAGGGTCATCTAACCAGACCCTGGTTCGTGATTGTTTATTTAGTTTCTACTCTTTGCTAGACACTGTTATAGAGGCTGAGAATATAGTAAGAAGGAAAAATGAAGTCTGTTCTCATCGAATTTATATCCAAGTGGATGGAGACAGATTGTCAGGTGGCAGTAAGGTTGAAGGGACAGTTGGGTGGTGCTATTTTAGACGTGTTGGAGGGGGAATGTCTCTCTCAAAAGGGAGTATTTGAACAGGAACCTAAATCAAGTGCTGGAGCAAGTCTCATGGATATCTGGAGGAAGATCACCATAACYCAAAGGAAAAGGCTTGGGGTTGGGGGTGGGTCTGAGGAACAGCAAGGGACCAAATTGGCTGGAGCCACAGAGGTCAGAAAGGAGTGGTGGGCGCTGCCACCAGAGAGTTGCTTGGGGCCAAGATCCCCCTGGGTCTTGTAGTGAATGGGTGGGAAGCCATTGAAGGTTTTGAGCAGAGGAGTGATTTGATTGGACAGGTTTTCAAAGGACCACTGTGATTGCTGGGTTCTTGAATAGACCTTAGGGAGACACCAGAGGCAGCAGGGAAATAGCATCTGATTGTGGAAGTACAGGTGAGAGAATGTGTCTGAATTAGGGAAGTTGTGCTGGAATGGTAGGGCATTAGTCAAGACTCTGATATTTCACAGGCAGAACCAACAGCATTTTCTGATAGATTGCAGAGCATGAGAAAGAAAGGGTGGGGGAAGACTTAAGATGATTCCAAGTTCTCCTTTGCTTGTTTTCTGAGCAACCAGAAGAATGGAATTGCTGTTTACTGAGATGGGAGGGATATCAGAAGTCTGGTTTTGGACATGGTACATTTGAAGTCTGATTAGACATTAACAAGGAGGTGCCAAGTAGTTAATTGATGGTAAGAGTCTGGAGTTCAGGAAATCGAGTGAGGTATACTGAGCCTCTGTGGAGTCCAAAGACTCAGTTCTCTTTGTCAGTTTCATCCTGCTCAAAAAAAAAAAAAAAAAAAAAAAGACTGGGAGGTCTTTGGAAGCCCTGGACTATGGACTAGCTAAGGCATATTTTGCACCAGGGATGGCCTGGACCATGGAATACCTCTACTGTGTCTTCAACCTCCAACCAGCACTTCACTCATTCACAGATGTTTACCAGGTGCCTATCTGCATGCCAGGAGTGGGCCAGGTATTGGATATGAAAGGAGAACAAGACACTCCCTGTCATCACAAAATGCTTAGTTTTCTAGGGGATTAGGACAARAGAATGGAGATTTCAGTTTAATGAGTTGCGGTACATATGGGGTGTTGTTGGACCCAAAGCAGAGGAACCTCATCCTGTCTTGGAGACAGAGAAAGCTTCTCAGAGAACAGGCTATCTAAGCCTTCCCCTGGAAGATGAGTAGGGAGAGCAGGTAAAGAGCGAGAAGGTGGGCAGAGACTGTTCTAGGCAGAGCAAGTAGCATGTGACAAGCAAAGAAAATTTGTCCTGATGAAGGAGAAAAGGACAGCTGAGTATGTCTGGGATGCAAAATGAAGGAGGCGCACAGAGGCAGAGAAAGGCAGGTCAGGATCCTAAAGGGCAGCACTGGAATCTGATTATAACAGCTAGGGGATGCTTTTGAGGAGTATGAGGCATAAGCGGCTTAAGGTAGGAGTGGTAAAGAGAGCCTGGGAGCCATTGTATCAGAGAGCTGGTGGGTGGCAGTCTCAGATCTCAGTGCCCTAAAAAATGACCCATAAATGTGTCCATATAATGTGACACAAGGCCTGAATCTGCTGTGCACAACCTCAGCTAATGGGAGAGATTCTTTAACTCAGAGAGTTAATCACTTTGATGTAAATGAAGTTCAATATACAATCTTTTAATAGGGGGCCAGTGTGTGGGAGAAAGGAGGTGAAGGGCAGCTTTAAGATGGGACRGCCCCCAGGAAGGGCAAGTTCTAGTCAAGGGGGAAGGTAAGGGGAACAGGAATGGAAACCAACAAATCATGTTCTTTCTAAGTTCATCTTGTTTTGTGTGATGTGTGTGCTGTGCAGTGTGTACTCAGGACAGGGCCCAGATTCCACATGAAGGTGCCGAGTGCTGGGTGTGTGTGTGTTGGGACTGGATGTTTGCGATGGGATGTTTTCTCCGAGTCCCTGTTAACGTGCAGAGCTCTGGAATGCACACTGTGCAAGCGCCTACCTGCAGGAAAGGGATCTGGCAGCCAACAGATGTGAGAGAGCATAGGCCTGCGGATGGCCCCAGTGGCCAAGATGATATCTCACAAAGAACAGGCTGTGGGTTCTCTTCAAAGTTAGAGTATTTGGACTCACTTTGCACACAAATACATAGGCACTTGGGTGTTTGTCAAATGAATGAGCGTTTTGGTTTTATTAAAGTTCAGTCATTTTAGGAAACATAAATGGTTAAAAGTTAAAAGTTTGAACTAGATGCTTTAAGAAAAATAAATTCACAGCCAGACACCAATACCCATTTATAAAATCTAGCAGTTTAAATCCTGTATTGGAGTTTATATACCAGCTGGAGTCCAACTCTGTGGAAGAAACTCTTCCTATTTCATTTTATGCAACAAACATTTCCTAAACACCTCAGCCCCACAGGCAAGCCCAGCTTTGCTGCCTGCACTCATTTCCCTTTCCTGAGCCACCTTAGTCAGGTGCTGCAATTAAAGCTTAATTATATGTTATCTTCTATTGTTCCTTAATTGTTGCATCTGCATTAATCCACCTCTAAGGGAGGCTGTATGTTCCTTGGGGCAGGGACTATACTGTCAACTTCAGGGTAAATGAGGAATGAAGGAGAGAGAGAGAAAATACAGAAGTGTCTGAGGACAAATGGAAACATGGAATGATGTCTGGACTGTATTTATTCCTTTAGTAATGAAAAGATAAAATTCCAATTTGCATTTTTCATATTAAGTGAAGGCTTTGTGTATAAAAATAATTGCTGTGATCCCCACAATGCTTTGTTCATCGTGATGCAAGACATAACTCTTTTCTTGGGGATGAAAGTTAAAAAGATGGAACTAGTCTACCATGAATGACCTCTTAGCCAGATCATCCTGCAGCAAACTTCTTAACACTGGCACTATTGACATTTTAGACTAGGTCATTTTTTGTTGTAGAGGCTGTCTTGTGCCTTGCAGGATGTTTGGATGCCAGTAGGTACCCCTCCCCCCAGTTGTGACAATCAAAAACGTCTGCAGAAGTGGCTCAGCRTCCCCCGGGGCAAAATCACCAGCAGTTGAGAATCAGTATCCTATAGGACTTTAGGTTCTAGTTACTTTTCTTATTTAAAAAATGGTGGGAGACCAGAGAAGGAAAATACTCTACTTACTTGCTGTGGGTTAGGCACTCTATCTACTATTGAATTTCATCTTACAGATAAAGAAGCTGATGTTCAGAGCTGAAGAACTTGCTGAAGATCACAAAGCTGGGTCAGCAGTTAAATCAGGATTGCAAGGCGGGCTTATCTGCCTCCAAAGACTTCAACCCTTTCTGCACACTCCCACTGTTTCTGTAAGAAAAAAACGGCAGGCCTCAAGTTGAAGGTGAACTGCAAATTAAAAAACAAAACAAAACAAAAACGATGTCAGAAAATAYAACTTTTTGGGGGGGAAGGGAATTGTTGCACTTCACTAAATTTGTTTGAATGTAAATATATATGTCCTCGCATATAGACACTGGGCCCTCTTACTACCGTTGTGGCTCTGGTCTTATCTAGGAAAAACATTGAGCAACACAATGGAACAACTTCAATTCTCCTTGTTACAAATTATCCAAAAGCCAGAGCCTAACGGTGCCAAAAGCAACCAGTATTGTTTACATAAGGGCTGAAGGCTAATAGTTAACTTTCTCCCATTTATTTCCAGAAACGGTAAATAACGCCTCATTTTACAACTACAAACGAGTAAAATGTCATAAAGCGGGGAAGAAAACAACCCAAAGGAAAATGGAAACGTTGGTTTTTAGCACCCGCTCGGGGAGCCSGGCCTGCGCGGCCTGGGTCCCCATCGTCCCCTCCAAGCTCTGGTCCGCGGCGCCCGGAGCTTTCTGGCTTCCTTTCCCGCCCTGGGGCGAGCTCGGTCTCTCTCGGAGAAGCTTGTCTCAGAGCCAGGCCTGGAAAAACAACAGCGAGAAACTTTGGCTGGGTTTGCGGTTCAGTGGAAAAAAAAAAAAAAAAAAAAAAAAAAGAGGCATACACTCAAGTTTGGTTCGGGGCTGCAGCTGCTGGTTCCGATTTGGGGGCGGGGGCGGGGGTGGGTCACAACTCGGTCAGGTTCAAGTGCGCATGTGCTGAGGAGTTGCTCAGGCACTTATTGAGCGCCGACTGTCTACGGGCGACTGGGGGTGTGTATCCCTGGCGTGCGGGGGCGGTGGGGGGGCCAGTGCGCGAGGCCGAGGAGGGGCGCGCAGGCCCGTGCACGCGCGGCGCCTGGGGCTGGGGGCGCGCGGGTTGGGCGGCGCGGGGTGGGTGTGTCTGTCCCCGAGTCTCGCCCGTCCGCTCGCAGTCTGGCTGCTCTTGCGCTCCCTTCCCGGGCGGGGAATCCGGGCCGGGTTGTGGCCGCGGCCGCGTACGTGAGCGCAGTGTCCCGGAGAGGGAGGGCAGGCCGGCCAGGTGGGCGCGAACTGAGCCTCGGCGGGAGGGCGGCCGGAGCGGAGCGGAGCGGGGCTGCGGGCCGCGCCGGTGGGCGGGCAGGGCCGCGGCGGCTGCAGCCCGGAGCCGAGCGGTTCGAGCGGGAGCTGCCCGGCCCGCGCTGCTGCTCGTGGCGGGCCGAGGTGAGCTGCGCGGGGACCTGGCGGCGCTGCAGCCCGGGGACGGGGGCGGCCGGGAACTTCCCACGCTCTGCACGCCCTCGGGGCCTGGACCGCGGCCGGGGGCCCGGAGGCCCGCGCGGCCGGGGCAGCGGCGGGTGGGGCGCGGGGCCGCTGCAGCAGTGCCGGCGCTGGCCGGGTGGCCGGGTTGGGGTGGCCGCGCGCCCTCCGGTGCGCCGCCTTGTTTATCTCGCCGCTGCCGGCGCTCGCATCGGATCCCCCTCCCAACTTTGAGCGGTGGTCCGGAGTCGCCTCTCCGGAGGGAGACTGACTGATCGATTAACCTGCGTCCTCCCGGATCCTTTCTGGCTGGGCCGCCAGCCGGGCGCCCCTGGCGCTCCTGCCCACTCCCGTGACGAGCGAGCGAGCGCTGGGCTGCCTGACCCGCGGCGCGACACACCCTCCACCCGGCTGGCTGTCGCCCACCCTCTCTCAAACCGCTTCTGGCGATTACCCTCTCAGTCCCCGTGTTCTCAGCCTGCCTGTTCCTTACCCCAGGTCCTTGTCTTTTCCTGGCGGTGGCACTGTGGACATATGGGGTGCCTGGGTGGGGGCCTGGACCTGGAGTTTGTCGTGTGCAAACAATTTCAAAGGCAGCATTTTCTTCCCTGCTTTGGAGTTCGGGCTCAGTTTCTTGGCGTTAGGGCGGAGTTAGCGATCTCAAGAAGCCCACCTGCCAAGCGAGAGTGTGCTCTGCCTCCTGTTATCGGGCGGCTCTCTGGCTTTGGAGGACTTCCACCAGACCTTCCTTCCCATGATGCCAGGCCACCAGGCAGTCATTGCTTTCTCTGCACCCCCTTTGCAGAAAGGAGCAGCTAGGCAGTTTCTTCAAAGTGAGTGATCAACAGGTATTGAAGGCTTTCCAACACCCTCCTCGAGGTGTTGTGTAAACAGAAGTTCCTGGTTTGGAGGAAGCTGGAAACATAGCATTACCTTCAACTCCACAGRTCCTTTTGAGGAGCTGCTGTGGTCTCTGGGAGATGCCAAGAGGCACAAATGAAATCTAAGGCCTCAGGAAGTCTATCGACTAGGTGAAAGTGATTTGAGAGCTCAAGTTCAAAGTAAAATGGTATGACTGCCTAAGTTAGTGCACGTTATGGGGGCATAAGCAGGTAAAGGAAATGTTACAATTGGGGATAGGATGTGGAGTACTGGTTTTGAAATATATTTTGCATGTTCCGATTAAGTCAGTGACAAACCCAGAGTCAAGAGAAGGACTACAGTGGAAGCTAGGAAGGCTACAAAAGATCTGTGGGATGACCTCCTCTAGGGTTTAGAATCTCATACAGGACCCAGAAAGACTTGAGCCTGTGAAATAAGACCTCCAGATACGACACAGTTAACTGTCCAAATTTGAGGTGTAGATATAGGTGCTTTGTGGGGTCAGAGAAAGGAGCCTGGGCAGGAACTGCAGCACAATATTCTTGGAAGATGAGATGGGTCACAGAATGGTACTGAACGTGGCTTTCCGGAGAGACAAGGAGATGGCCTTGGCTACCTTGGAATGTTTCCTGAACAGTAGGAGATAAAGATGGAGAGGAACAATGGTTGAGATTGTGAAAGTCCTAGAAAGCCAGAATGGGGAATTGCACTTTACCCTGTGTGTACTGGGGAGACAGTGAAGTTTTTTTTTGGGCCAGAGAGTGATGTAAGGAAACAGCATTTGGAAAGGTTTTTGAAAGTAATATTAGGAGACAGATCAGCTAGTAGGCTGTTGTGCTTGTGGAGTGCACAGGAATTTGGACTGGGTTTAATTGGAAATGGAAAGGAGGGTGAGTTTTAGAAACATTATTGTTGAAATCATCTGTTGTCCGGGGTAGGGCAAAAGGAAGAGATGAATGGAAATTAATTCTTTGTGGAAATTGATTATACGCCAGGGCCTTGGAATTGCTGTAGTTGGTAATTTGAGAAATCGGAAATGGGTGTTGTACAGAGAAGAAATTGACACTCAGCCTGTAGAGAAGTTTCCTGTGTTTGCCACAATATTCAAATGGAGGTGTCCTGCCAGCAACTGAGGCTCTGAGATTGGTGGGAACCCATGGGGGTATAGTTAGGGAGAGGGAGAGGAAAGGCACTCAGAATAAGTGGGGGTTCTTCTTGGCCAGACAGCCGGCTAAGTATGTGAGTTGGACWCAGGTTCTGACTTGGAGGGCTTCTGCTTATCCCTCTTGCATTGCAAATCACGTGGCACTGCCTGCTGTTGACCTTGAGGTTGGAGAAGCAACTTTTGGTAATTAGTGCTCCTAGGAAAATGGGGTCATTTAGTCTCATAATCATGAGAGTGGAATTGGAGAGAAGTTAGAATGGAATTTGCTAAAGGTGTAAATTGTTGGGCTCTGAAGCATGTTGAACTTTGCTTCGTTGGGTTAGTCCCAGTGTCCCATTTGTGCCAGGGGAGGATGGAGCATCTAGATGATCTAAAAAAAAGGGGAGAGAACTTTGGGCCTAGGATATTGCCTTTTATAGGGCTTGGTCCATCCCAACCTGATCCAGTTGCCAGTTCCCCTGCTTCTGGTGACCTGCGGCAGAAGGGAGCTAGCTGGTGCCATTTTTCCTGAGCTCTGAATTCTGCTTTTTTGTTGCAAGGGTGATTTAGGGTGATTTGCTGAACAAATTCCCCAAGCCTCAACTTGAAACATCTGAATTTGAAGGATGATTGCAAAAGGTTGCTGAATGAGCTGAGAATGTAATTACAGTTACTTAGCCTCCTTGTTTCTGTGAGATGCAGGATGAGTGAACTGGCAGGGGAAGARGACCTAGAAGGGGAACCTAAGGGGGAACAGAACAGATATTTTTTCCCTTTATAGGGAATATCTGAACATCGAAAAACTAATTGCATGGAGCAGTGGTTGAGCTCACTTACTTACTGTAGAGCAGTGTTTTCTGCCCTGTTTTGACCATGACCTACACTAAGAACTAAAATTTACATTGTGATCTACCATATATGATCATGTATGTAAAAAAAAAATCTTAGTTTATGAAGTACTGCCTTTTTTTTYCCTTTGGTTGGGGTAATAATCTTCTCTGACATTTTTACTGCCTATTCTATTTTTTCTTACTAAAAAATGCTATTGTCTCCCACCAAGTTGATCTAACCACTCTCTAATGGAGCATAACCCACCGTTTAAAGAGCCCAGAGAGAATTTTCACATTCAGTAAGTATTTACTAAGCTGCTAGTGTGCAGAGCTACCCTTCCCAGTGCCGAAGGTAGAAGGAGGCGTAAGAGAGAGATGGAAAGTTCACAGTCTAGTTGGAGAGACGAAGTATACATTAGATTAGGAGCAAGGTAAGACAATTAAATGCCAAAATGAAATATAAGCATGTTAGGATTTAAAGAAGTGGGGAATAATGTGTACTGTGTGGCTTGGAAAACTTCTTTGGAAAAAGGAAGGAAGTCTGGGATGAGCAGTTGGGGTGTCTTCTGGTGCCGCGTGGTGCAGAGGGAGCCAGAGCTTGGGGTTAGGAACGCATACACAGTGCTTGTGTGAGAACTGAAGACTGTTGTGCGAGCAGAGTGAGAGATGAGGTTGGAAAGGTGGTTTAGGGTCCTAGGTAGTACAGGGTTTGTGAAGGGGTGGCCTGCAGAATGTTTTAAGTCTACAGGTAGGTTCTAGTTTGGACAACACAGAAGTTTTTAAAACTATTGGGAACAGTCAAGGATTCGTGCAGTCATCTGGAGCTCTGGGGTGGCTGTCCTTCTGGACAAGACCTTAGGGTTCCCAGTTCTCATGGTCCCAATGCTTTCTGTGGCCTTGGTCCAATTTCTTTACGTTCTCTGCTGAAGCCTGTAGATATTTGGCTTTGTCACCTCCGTTTTCAAGAGCCTCGAATGTCAAGCCAGCTATCTTTTGGGTTCCGGTGGCCATGGAGTGTTTTGGAAAGAGTGTGACATGGAATCTGAAATATTTATGGGCAAGCAGTTTGTTTTAGGCAAGCCAGCGGCACTTTCTGAGGAGATGCTATTGGGGACATGGAAGTATTTTTACAGTGGTATTTATTTAAATGGTATTTGTTAGAGAGGGCTTTGACCTGTGTTCTGCATGGTGGGCAGATCTCCAGTGATGCCAGTGTCTCTCAGACTTCCCTGTTTCCCATTTCTGGCTGGTATGGTTGTGTCAGAGGATGATGTTGGGGTAATAACTTGGTGAGCTGTGAGTTGTGGCTGTCAATGCCTWATGACATTAGATTCTCAGAAGCTTTGGTTCTGTGAGCCAGTGCTAAAGGAAGAACCAGGAAAAGGGCTGGGCCCTTTTTCTCTCCTCTTCCTTACTCCCAGTCTCACCCCAGGAGGCAGGCATCCAGGATCCTGAGAGACTCATAATGATCATGGAATAGCTGGCTCAGGCACAGGTATTGATGCAAATGGTTCCGGAAAACTTGGCGTGGTTGGAACCACCTGAAGACCTAGGTTCAGGTCTCTGGTCTAGATCAGTCTGGTGTACTCCAAGGAATCCATAACCTCCCATGATTCAGAGTTCCTCCCAGGTGAGCTACAGAGGGACTGATTAGTAGTCATCCTGCTCTTTATAGGTAGGACAATGTTCAGTTATTTAAAAATATTGCTTTTATAACATTAAAAATTAAAATTGAGGCTGGCATACATTTTGCTTAAAAATATGTGGCTATAGGCTACAAGGCTAACCAGAAGTCACCTGAATCATATCAAGTAAATCCATCTCCTTTTTGCAGGATGGTTTGGTTACTAACCAGGGGAAGCAGGTAGCAGCTGTGGTATGTTTTGGCTTTAGTGATGCACTGAACGGTTTCCTGAGACACAATTGTCCATATTAAATCAGAAGTGGTAAAGTGGGCTGGATGGTGTTATTAATTTAACTTGACAGTCATATGCAAAAATTGTTAATTATTGGCCCTGAGTCAGCCTGGAACCAGGTCTGAAAGTGCCATAGGGTTCTGTTCTTGGCTTTGATCTGTTCAGCATTTTCCCAGTGTTGTGGATGAAGAT